GAAGAACCTGGTTCATCAGTATATGCTCATGAGAAAGTTCAGGTATGTTTCTATACTTTGCACAATTAGAAAGATAAAATTACCAATCATGAGCAGAAGTCCTAATTACACCAAACTTTAAGAAATTCTATCCGTTGAGCATTGAACCAGTTTCATTATCCTAGGAGTCTAACTAAAACGGGATTGTTTCCTAAAAACTAGCGTTACTCATTAATCTCTAAAGAGATCGGAATTCTAATTTGATTAGACTCCTAATTGACTACTGAAAAGGCTGCCGTTACAGGCTTAATCATGATCCCTCTTTAAATACACTCCACACCTTCTCTCATCACTCACAACCGTCATTCACTTCTCAAATACTTCTGAAAACCCCCTTTCTACTCCAAAAATTCCCAAAAGATTTCCAGAAATTCTCCGCCATGACTAATCTTCAAGACAATCCTGGAACTCCCCCACCTGTTTCCGCTAATACTTCATCATCAACACCTCCAGTTGAAACCCCAAAACCCAGATTTTGCCGGCAAAAGATGTTAGCCAGAAAAACTATAGCATCCGGCTCTCTCAGAAAAATCTTGAACAAGAAATTAAAGGCCAGTCAAAGGAAAGAGGTTTCAGCGGAAGAATCTGACTCAAGCTCTGAGTCTGAAAAGTTCATCTCTGCTAGTGAAGGAGAAAAACCTGGGTCTTCTGATAATGACAAGAGCCAAGAAACCCCAGGTGAGGTAAACACCTGTTATGTATTTTCTGATGTAGTAGAGAAGGAAGATAGTAGGTTTGTGTTGGTGGGTGCTGTGAAAAATGCTGAAGGGGCTGAGTCTAGTGGAGGAGAAAGAAAAAGAAAGGAGAGGTTCTTGCTATTTGTGGTGGAAGAGAAGTAGGTGGCTTAAAGTCAGGGGGAAGTGGATCAGGAGAGGCTGCTGAGGGACTTGTTCAAATGAGTAAGCAACAAGAAGAACAAGGTTCTTCTGTGGATGAGACTTTAGCAGATATGCTAAAGAAAGTAGGGGCCAGTTATGACCCAAAGAAGCGGAAGGCGTCTTCACAAAGGACCCCAGTTGCTTCTGAACCCTCAAAGAAAAGCAAAGTAACATCTCCCAAGACTGCTGCTACTTCTGTACCTAGAGGAAGAGCTACAAGGAGCAAAGTAAGGCAAAGTGAAGCAGAATTGCAGGAAGCATTGGAGAAGAGTAAGAAAAAGAAGAAGGAAAAGGGAAAAGAAAAGGTAGTAGAAAGTTCTGAGGCTGCTGAAGAAGAGGAGGAGGAGATGGAACTGGTCCATCAAGAGAGAGGTACAACTGTGGAGGTTCCCACTAACAAACCAAAAAGAACCAAGACTCCTGCAAAGAAGTCTTCAAAATCTGTACATGCTGAACCTTCTTTGGCTAGAAGAACTAGGTCTGCAGTAAAGGGAAAACAAGTGAAAATTACTGAAGAAGAAGATGAAGAGTGGAGTGGAGAAGAAAAAGAGGAGGAGTCTGAACAAGAGCAAGATCGTTTTGTTATTTTTAGCAGAAGGAAGATATTGAAGGGTAGGTTGCTGAAAGACCTGGAGGAGCCAGGCATGCTTAGGTTGTTGGATGTTTTAGATGCACAGGGTTGGAAGGACATGGTCCTTCAGATGGATGGAAGACTAGCCAGAAGAGAGCTGATTGAATTCATGGCAAATGGTTCTGTGAAAAATGGGCTAGTGACCAGTGTGGTGAAAGGTGTGAAGGTGAAGTTTGATGCACCTGAATTGGGCAGGATTCTAGACATTCCAAGTGAGGGCTATGATGATTACACAAGGCAAAGGTGGCCTTGTCTAGATGATCTGCCCACAACACTCCAAATCACCAGGAACTTCTGTGATACAAAGGATGCTGAAGAGGTGCCTGAAGCAAGATTTGTTCAAAAGAGTGAAATGAAGCCAGAACATAAAGTGATCTTTGAGTTTGTGAACAAGTGTCTGCTGCCTAGACAGGAGAGGAGGCACACTGCAAATTATATGGACCTGGTTCTCATGGAGTGTCTTGTGAGGGGTAAGCAGATTAATTGGCCTGCTTTCATAGTAAAACTGCTGGACAGAGTCATCAATGGTTCAAAGGCTCATGCTACTCCTTATGGATTCATTTTAACAACTGTACTGGACAGGCTGAACGTTCCTTTGAAGAAATGGGAAATGGCCTCCAGTAAGGAGCACTTTGGAATCAAGACTCTCCAGGCCTGTGACTATCTGCTAAGTGTAGCCCCTATTGAACCTGGTTCATCAGTGAAGACTCCAGTGAATAGCAAGGTTAGGGCTTTGGTTCAAGAATGTGGGACCAAAGATGCCGAGATTGCTAGGCTTCAGGCTCGTGTGGCTGAGTTGGAAGAAGAAAGGAATGGGCTGAAAGCAGAACTAGCAAAAGAGAAAGAAAAGAGTGAAGGGATGCTACAAACAATGCTCAACTTACTCCAATCCCAACCCTCTAGTTCTTCAAAGCCTTAGCCCTCTTTGTCCTTGTTCTGAACCAGTTCAGTTAACCCCCAGTGACCCAGATTAGGGATTTTTCTTGTTTTTGCTCATGGTTGGTTGTCTTTGTTCTTTCTTTTTGTGGACTGTCTTGTAGAAGCACTACCTTATCAATGACAATTTGCATTTCTCTTGTTTTATGATGATTCTGCTCTTAATAGTTGTATTTGTCAAGTTGATTTTTGATTAACTAAAGCATTCTTTCACTTGCAGTTGCCCCAGTGGCCATGAGTAATGATTAATATTCTGGGATTCACATGTTTATGCAACTTTTCAATGATGCCAAAAGGGGGAAGATATTGTGTATTGTGCTTAAAAAAAAATATTTTCTGAACAATGATGTTTATGACCTAATTAAATCTGGCCCTTAATGATAAGTTAAAGTTTTCAAGTGATGATAGTTTAGCTGAGTTCCACAGGTTCTCTGATCCGTACAAAGCATAGAGTTTGTCATCATCAAAAAGGGGGAACTTGTTGGCCCAAGATCAGTTGAAGTGTTGAAGAATGACAAATGAACTCAATGATGGACCAGGTCCATCTTAGGAGACACAGTTGTTATGGCCCATGCACATGAGATGCACGTGAAGAAGATAAGTCCTTGGGGATCAAGCAGCAATATATTCTGAATATCTTCTGACCTGATCGAAAAGATTGCATATGGGATAAGGAGAAGATGACTCCTTATAAGAAGAGAACACATCCGGATAAGGAGTTGCTCTCTTTTACAGGTTGCACAAAAACGCAGAAGTTAAACGTGAATTGGGAGCAAAATAGCAAGGCTTTTTGCAAGCAGTTCGTGTGTGATTCAAGTGTGCAAACCAGAAGCTACATGAACCAGATTAAAGAACCAGCTCCATAAAGAGTTTTATGTGTCTTTCTTTATTTCTAGTTCAATTGTAGTAGGTGTTTCATATTGTACCTTTCAGCTTTATCTAGAAGCAATTGTAATAGGTACTTTGAGTATTCAAGTTAGAGTTAACTTGAAAGTGTCGCAACAGTTGAGGCTGTGTGCCACACTGGGATTAGAGTTAATCCTTAGGTTTACAAGAGTTTTGTAAATGCTGTTTTTGGCTCATTGAGTTTAGTGGATGTTTGGGAAAATCCTACTGAGTAGTAGGTCGTGGTTTTTTCACCTTTTGAGCCAGGTGTTTTCCACGTAAAAATCCTTGTGTTTTTTTATTTTCTGTATTTTAATTCCGCAAACAGTAGTAGTTAGAACACCTAGAAGAACCAGGTTCTTCTAGATCGAAAATTGGGTACCACACAAATCACCCCCCTCTTGTGTGGTATTGACGTTTGGAACATCAGGATGAAACTTGAAAAAAATGTCCTGCACTCCATATTTATTTTTAAGAGTGTACAACCAAATATATTTGGTGTACTGGTCAATAAATATATAGTAATATCTTTTCTTATCAATGTAAAAGATGGGTGATGGACCCTATAAGTCACTAAAAAGAATCTGTAGTGGAGCAGTACTAATTAGAGACAAACAATTGAATGGAAAACGTTGAACTTTATTTGAACAACAAGAATTACATAAAGTAAACTTGTCTGTTGATGAAACTGGTAGAGAAAATCTATTCAAAACAATGTTCAAGATTCTTGAGTGGGGATGGCCAAGGCGACGATGCCAGATTTGACGAGGAATTTTTGTAGAGGCAACTTGAACAGTAGGCTTATTAACAGTGAAGTTGGGCCATTCATAGAGTCCGTTCCTGTTCCGACCAGATATCAACGGAGTACACATTTTCAAGTCCTTCTCAGAGAAAAAAAAATGAGAGAAATTCAGTTGAGGTCAAATTATCTTGATAAAATTTTGACATAGAGACAATATTTTGTTTGATAGCAGATGCACACAAAGTATCAGTTAGTTTAAAAGCATTATTTGATGCAACTAATTCAGTAGAACCAAGGTGAGTAATTGGGATTTTTTTTACCATCGCCCATAGCTATGCCTTCTGGACTATTATATTCTTCAAGATTAGTAGGCTTTATGGTGACATGATGAGTAGCACCGGAGTCAACAATCCATTGGTTTGGTGCAGCTTGCATACCTGAAAGAAAATTTGCCTTTGCCTCTATATGATTAGAGACTGTGACCTTCAAACATTTGCAGTATGACCTTGTCTGTTGCATAACTGACAACGAACGGAGTTATTGATGTAACGTCCTTGAGAAGGCACATTAGTAAGATTGTTGTAACGTCATTATGAGTTGTTTTTGGATCGACGAGCACTACGATTATTGGAATTGGTGGATCTGTTGCGAGTTACCATAGGAGCAGTAATTGGTGATGTTTCCTTCTTTAATTCTTCATGTGTGAGAAAGAGCTCATGATCAATCAGTTTGGCATATAAATCCTCACAAGAGATGATGTAATATCTTACTCGGATTGCAGCGGATATCTCACAAAAATTTGGCCCTAGCTACTCATAATTTTCACAACCAACTCATCATTGGAAATTGAAGCACCGGCAATGGCAAGCTCGTTGCAGAGAGAGCGCACTTAATGGAGATATTTGGCGACTGGGGGAGAGTCCTTGGATAGTCGTGCAAGCTGATCGCGAAGGTTAAAGACTCGCGTTTGGGACTTGTTGGCATAAGCTATATGGAGCGAGTCCCAAGCAAGTTTAGCAGGGGAGGCAGCAGCCACAATTACGGCTATTGTTGGATCGACAGAAGCCATTATGGCATTCTGGATCAACTGATCTTGACAGAACCAAATATTGTCGTTTGGATTCTCTGGTTGCCTATAATTTTTTGTGATAGTTGTCGAAGGAGTGGGAGAAGAACCGTCAAGATGACTGAACAGATTGTGCCCACACATGAGCATGGAAATCTGAGCTTTCCATGTCGTAAAGTTATGGCTGCCAACAAGCTTTATCATCAGCTGCAACACAGGATTGAACTGAATAATAACACTAGAGTTGCTGCTAGTGGAATCAACATTTGTTACATTGGGTGCCATTTTAAGTGCGCGTCTGTGGTGGTAGTCAGAGGGTCGAAAAGAAGCTCGTGAGAGTCAAGAAGATTGCTCTGATACCATATAATGAATGAGCAAGATGGAACAAAAATAAAATGATTTTATTGAATGACCATGAACTGAATATATACACTAGCCTATAAGAGAGTTACTGAGATAGTACTCCTTCTATAGTGGAACAAACTAGAAATCAAGGAACTAAACAACAAACTCCTATAATATTGGAAACAAGATAAATTCAAAATATAAGCTACAGTAAATTACAATTAACAACAGTAAATACTATTATGTGCTAATACTACCGATATCTATATATATATATATACTATATTAAAAGCACAGGCCCTTAGCGAAATGTCGTTCGCATTTTTCACCCTTTAAAATAAAGTATACATTGGATAAAATTGTCATTTAAGTTGCTTTCCTAATATTTAGGAGTTTAAAAATTGCTACAATATTATTTATATCATTCCTTATTTGAATTATGTATGTAGGCCTAATATTTAGGATTTAATAAAAAAATTATAAGAAGAGGAAAATATGTAAAAGATTCTCCAACAAAGTAAACAAGCCGATTACACAACATACTGTCTGTCACGACCCGATTTCGCACCCTCGGTGGTCGTGATGGCGCCTACTAATGAGATCTAGGCAAGCCAAAGTAAATTACTTGTCCATTAATAAGCTAATCCATTTTAACAATTTATGACAATAAAACAAAACAACAAAATTTAATAAGGAGCGGAAGTCTTAACATTTTATAAATTGAATAAAATACGGAAAGTTCAACCAAATCCTCTACCCAAGACTGGTGTCACTGTACTCATGAACTGCTAAGAATACTACATACAAACGTCTGAAAGAGAACATAAATTGTTTGTCTCGAATACAATGAGATAACAGATAAAATAAAGGATAGAGGAGACGCCGGGCTGCGGACGCCTGCAAGACTACCTCGGGTCACGCTGAAATGAAGCCTGCTCCACCCTACTGCTGCTGCTGCTCGAAACATGGATCTGTGCAAAATCGCACAGAGTGTAGTATCAGCACAACCGACCCCATGTGCTGGTAAGTGTCTAGCCTAACCCCGGCGAAGTAGTGACGAGGCTAGACTGGACTACCACATAAACCTGTGCAATTATATATATACAGCGGAATCGAATATACAAGACAAGTAAACAATATGGGGGGCGGGGGGGGAGGGAGGGGAAGCATGCTGTGGGGAGATAACAATATTAACAGTAGATCCAGAATAACAATCTAAGGGCAGCTTGGAATTTACAGCGGACAAGAAACTAATCCCCAAATAAACACACTTGTATCAATAATTGTTGCGACGCACAACCCGATCCCAATATATATATATATAACAACACTCTTGCGGCGTGCAACCCGATCCATAATCGTTTAGCATTGTTGCGGCGTGCAACCCGATCCATATCGTTTAACATTGTTGCGGCGTGCAACCCGATCCACAATATCATTCAATGCACGACATCACCCTTCGTGCTTTAACACTCTTCCTCACCCAATGCATCAATCACAAACAAGGGCAAGGGAAAATAATAAAACAAGAATGGAAGTCCCGGCAAGGGTACACAAACAAACAAATAAAAACCCGGCAAGGGTACAACATCAATAACCACAACGTCCCGGCAAGGGAAGAAATCATTAACTCTTCTCTTTCTTTCACTTTCATCTCATATTTCACATTATCACTTGAGCCCAAGCTCCAAGGAGTTACTTATCACATATACCTTCATAATTTGTATTTCAAGCCGAGCCAATGCTCCACGAAGTTTCAAGATCACAATTTCTTTCACAAGGTCTTTACAACATATAGAAGTCATCAATTAAGCATGGAAGGCATATCAACAAACAAACTATTCGCAAGATAAGGACTCACGGTCATGCTAGACACCAATGTATAGATACTCGTCACCATGCCTATACATCGTACTCGACAATTAGCAAGCATCAAATAAGACTCAACTCCTATTCCCTCAAGCTAGGGTTAAACCAAACACTTACCTCAACTTCCACGGCCAAATCAATCCACAACAACCGCTTTCCCTCTCGAATTCGGCTCCAACTCAATCAAATCTATACAATAATGACTTCATAATATCAATATATGCTAAATAAATCAAACCCAATGTCTAATTATAGGTTTCCAAGCTTCCTTCCCAAAAATCCCAAAATCACCCCCGGGCTCGCTTGGTCAAAACACGAGGTTCAGACGAAAAACAAATCCCTCATTCACCCACGAGCCCGACTCTATAATTTATTCTCAGATTCGATCCCAAAACGAGGTCTAAATCAATAAAAAGTAAAAAGCCCTAGTTCTACCCATTTTCCCCAATTTCTACCCTAAATTACATGATTTAAGCTTAGGAATTCAATAAGTAATGATGGAAAATGAAGAAAACGAGTTGGGATTTACTAACCCAAGAGGTCTTGATGAAAGGAAGCTTCAATGGATGCCTAAGGACCTTGGAGAAGAAGAAACTCGGATGTTTTTATGAAGAAGTCGCGACCACACTGTTCTGAAAATTAAATATAACTGGGCACAAATTTCCCTTCGCGTTCGCGACAGGAGGATCGCGTTCGCGAAGGGTAGGAGCTGACAAGCCACGCGTTCGCGAGAGGAGGAGTGCGAACGCGAAGAGGAAAATACTGGGGGTCCAGGATTTGGCCTACGCGAATGCGTGAGGCCTTATGCGAACGCGATGAGTGAGGGCAATAAGCTTACGCGATCGCGAGATATGGTATGCGAACGCGGAGGAGGAAAATCTGGGGCTTCGCGAACGCGTGACTTGAAGTCAAGTACAAATTATTTGACTTTTAATTTATAGATTTTTTCTAGAATTTAATAATAATAATAAAATTAAAAATAGATAATACACTTCCATATAATACTTGAACTCCCTTGATATTCAAATAATACTTTTTATTCGTCAATTTTATGTGTGATATTTTCATATTGCACTCCATATAGAAAAATAACGAAGGAAGTATTTAAAAATATAGAATTAGAAAAACTTGAAGGACAATACTCTTGTGATAAAATGTGAAATTATTCACTTTCATGTTTGGTTAGATTTTTTTTTTTGGTATATGAAATTGCGAGAATAATTATACCACAATCTTAATTAGCTACTATTCATATTCTACATTCCATGTGGGATAATATTTGGGAATTAGCTATCCCAGGATAAAATAATTAAATAATCAAATTATCTTTTCTTTTGGTCCAAAAGATAACTTACATTGATCAAAAGTTACGTACAGGGGTGTGGTGCTCATGCACCATGTTACATATACTAGTAGTAGCCATATCATTACTACGTGAGATATCGCCCCTAAAGGTGTCACACTAGCGATCCTCAATACTAGTAGAGGCTGTTGTGATCCTATCAATTTTCAAAACACTATTTGCAACAGTCTCAGTAGGTACATTATCAGTAACAAAACATGTGTTGCTGTCTTGATCTACACTTTGCTGCACATGTTATATAGGAACCATGCATTGGGTTGTTGTTCCCATGTGATCTGCCAGCAACTGGTTTGATACAAATGGTGGTGGATTAACAAAAATTTGCAACCTATTAGCAAGTCGTATCCTACTTCTGTAACGATCCGGCCGGTTATTTTGAACGCCCCAATCCCTTATTTACCGCTTTACCGTTATCTATTTCTACTATTCTGACTTTCCGGGATGATTCATTTTGAGTTTCGGAGTGTTTTGGAACACTTAGTCCCTAAATGAGAGCTTAAGTCTTAGAATTTGGACTGTAGTCGGAACAATATGAAGACATCACCGGAATGGAGTTTCGCCAATTTAGTTAGCTCCGTTGGGTGATTTTGAGCTTAGGGGCGTGTCCGGATTGTGTTTTGGAGGTCCGTAACTTATTTAGGCTTGAAATAACGAAAGTTGAATTTTTAGAGTTTTGGGCCAGTAGTGGAATTTTTGATATCGGGGTTGAAATCCAATTCCAAAAGTTCGAGTAGGTTCGTAATGTTGAATATGACTTGTGTGAAAAATTTGGGGTCAATCGGACGTGGTTTGGTTGGTTTCGGCATTAGTGGTAGAATTTTGAAGTTTCAAGTTCATTAGGTTTGGATTGGAGGCTGAATTGTGTTTTTAACGTTGTTTGATGTGATTTGAGGGCTCGACTAAGTTCGTATGGTATATTAGGATTGGTTGGTATTTTTGGTTGAGGTCCCTAGGGCCTCGGGTGTGTTTCGGATGCTCAACGGGTGAAAAAAATTGGACTTAGGCTATTGCTGAAGATTTTCTGGTGCTGGTGTAATCGCACCGGCGAAAAGGTCACCGCAGGTGCGAGCCCGCAGAAGCGGAAAAATGGAGGAGTGCCAGGGGTCGCAGGTGCGAGGCATTTTCCGCATTTGCGAAGCCCGCAGATGCGATGGAGAGACCGCAAAAGCGGTAAAAGATCGCAGAAGCGGCCAAGTATCCGTAGGCGCGACAGAAGCGGCCAAGTATCCCATGCGACAAGTATGGAAGGACATGGTCCTTCAGATGGATGGAAGATTGGCCAGAAAAGAACTTGTTGAATTCATGGCTAATGGGACTGTGTAGAATGGGATGGTAACCAGTATAGTGAAGGGGGTGAAGGTGAAATTTGATGCACCTAAGTTGGGTAGAATCCTGAACATTCCAAGTGAGGGCTATGATGATTACACAAGGCAAAAGTGGCCTTGCCTGGATGGTCTTCCTACTGAACTTCAAATCACTAGGAACTTCTGTGACACTACAGATGCTGAGGAGGTTCCTGAAGCAAGGGCTGTTCAAAAGAGTGAGATGAGGCCAGAGCATAAAGTGTTCTTTGAATTTGTAAACAATGCCTGCTGCCTAGACAGGAAAGGAGGCACACATCAAACTATATGGACCTGGTCCTCATGCAGTGCTTGGTGGAAGGAAAGCAGATCAACTGGCCCGCTTTCATTGTTAAGCCGCTAGACAG